TCCACTTATTTAGATCTGTAACATGTTGAGGGACAATGGCTGTTTGGTAAGCTGTGTTTCACTGTCAGAGCAGGTGTGCTCCCCATATTGAAGCTATGGAGCAGCCAAGCCTTGAGTCATAGGACCTGAAGATTTGGATGTAACGAGTGTCCCTGATGCAGGGAGATGAGGTTCAGAATCATTAGTAGCACCTGGGGTTCCTGCTGCCACTGAAGCGATGTCATGGACTGAGCTGGTAGGGACGGACTCATGTTGAGGGAGGAGTATACTGCTGCCTGTAGGCTGCCCGTGGGTTCCATAGTTGCCACTGTGGTAGACAAGTGGTGGTGGGTAAAGCCATGGTTGTGGATGTGCCTAGTGAGTCACCTTAAGCTTTGCAATCTCCTCAGCAAGGCCTTGCATATGTTGGAGAAGAATTCTGGGAAGAAAATCTGTTCTCTTGTGTTGTGTCTAACTCGCTGTGAGGGGACGAAGGCATAGGCAATAGAGCGTGAAGGTCAGAGAGGTACCAAGGAGTGGAGACTGTGATACTAATTAAACGTAAATGTCAGGGGTGCTGAGGAATTGCAGTTCCACTATTTTCTGTGGAGTGGTCTGTTTCTGCACTGTTTTGTCAGTGGTAAACAGTGCCAGGTGGGCTGTGTCTACACTGGCATGAATTTCCGTTTTCAGTTTTCCGTTTTCAGTTTCCGTTTTCAGTTTTTCCGGAAAAGGAGCGTCTACATTGGCAGGCTGCTTTTCTGGAAAAGCCCTTTTTCTGGAAAAGCGTCTGTGGCCAATGTAGACACGCTTTTCCGGAAAAGAGCCCCGATTGCCATTTTCGCGATCGGGGCTTTTTTCCGGAAAAGACTAGTGGGCTGTCTACACTGGCCCTTTTCCGGAACAGTGTTCCGGAATAAGGACTTATGCCCAAGCGGGAGCAGAATAGTTTTTCCGGAATAGTGGCTCATTTTGTACAGTAGAGCATTGTTGCTTTTCCAGAAATTCAAGGGCCAATGTAGACAGCTCGCAGCTTATTCCGGAAAAGCGGCTGATTATCCGGAATAAGTGGCCCAGTGTAGACACAACCGTGGTGTTTTGTCTGCAGTGCTAGAGCGTGCATGGATGCTGCACTATGCACCGATGCAGCAGTATTCACCGACACTGGGAGATGTGGCCATTTGGTCTTCAGTGCCATATGTTGTGGAAACAGTTTTACATTTCAGCTCCAATTTGGCTCATTTTGTTGGTTCCGATATTGGCTCAGTGTTCAGTACCTCAGAAGAGCTAGTCTTGGAAGAGCTCTGCACCACCAGCTTAGAAGAAAGTAGTCCAAGTGCAGAGGTGGGAGTCTGGATGATTGGGAAAGCAGCTCCCCAGTGACCTCTCTATCCCTGGCTGACGAGTGATGGGGGCAGGAAATGGCAGGGAGAAGTGCAGAGCCAAGGGAGAGGGGTGGGTGTGACCTAGACCCAACCACTCCATGCAGTGTAAGTGTGCTCTTAGCCTATTTCCAGCCCAGCCAGGGCTAGCAGCTGAGCTCAGTACAGAGTAAGAATCACTACCCAGAGTGAGAAGGAGGGGGACTTAGCCGAAGGGGGAGGGGGAGGTCTACATAAGGGGGCTTGAGATACCTGGATGTTAGCCCCAACGCTCCAGTGATTTGCCTCTCTGTGTACCTGAAACAATGCATCCATGTTGCCGGGGAGCAGTACATGGAATACAATATCAAAGCATAAAACAACTCACAAGCATTCTGGTTCATTAAATCCACGAGTAAGCCAGACACATTCCAGCTATGTATATGTTAGTGTCAAGCTGAGACATGTGGACCTTGGCATGAGCTGGTGCCTGGGTTTGCTAGCATCACAAATGAGAGCAAACAGTTTGCTTTGAGACATCATTCAGGTTTTATTAATCTCTTTTATAGGAGTTTCATATTGTATTCACAGCTTCAGAGTCTCACCCCAACTGTCCAGCACAGTGAAAGTGTCATGAACTACAACCATGACATTATAGTGTATACTGGTTAGTTATTACAGAAAGTGTGGGCCTTCATACCGTTTTGACCAAAACACCATGAACTAAAGCTCCAATGGTGCCTAAATAAAATCACTTGCCAGGCCATAGTTTGTAGCTAGCGGATACTATACTTTCCAGGAAACTTATCCTCAAGACTGATACTTTGAAGGTAGAGACAAGATCAAAGAGTGGAGGGCTAAGAAGATTCTATATTCTCCTTTAGCTGATCAAATTGTTCAGGATATTAGACCTACAAGTGGCATTAAACTTCTTACTTGCAGGTCCACTTCATGTATTTATGCAGTCCACATGACATTCAGATTCTTAGGAAGATAGTATCAGTTACACTTGGTTCACATTTTAGAAAGTTTCCTGGGCATCCATGTGGGTTAGAAGCTTACTCTTTAATGAAAATGTTAAAGCTGCAGACACTATGAAACAATGATTGAAGTGTAAACTCCCCCATCTTTCATTAAGATAAACAGAAAAATTAAGTGACACTTACAATATCAGCATTAACTAATTTTAAAAAGGAAGGAAAGAAATAGGATGCACAAAGGAGAAAATAAAAGTAGGGATGGACATAAATGCAAACCTCTTCGCAATGCATGATGATGAATTTGACTATAAGTGTATTATTTTAAGTCAAGTTAAAGAAAGGCCATATTCTGCCTCCAATCCTTGGGGAACCTACCACTGACATCACTGGGAGTTCTGCTGAGGCTTGAGGTTAGCATGATTGAGACTAACTGAATTCAAAATGGAATGTAGCCTCTCCACAGAGCCATGAGGTAAGTAAGGCAAATTATCACATTCATGTGTCTCCCATTCCCCTGCCTCACCCTGCATTAGAAATTCAGGTGACTGGCATGGAGAGATCTAAAGAATTAGATACTTCAGTTTTGCATTTTTTGCTCCCCCTCACTGGAGAAATACTTCACTTTACATCTATACTTAAACTTAGAGCTGGATTTCTAAAAGCACAGTATTATGCACACTCAACCTGTGAGCCTAACTCAGCATGGGAGCTATGCCCATGAAAGTAAGGTGCACCCACAAATGCTTCCATTAAGTCAAAAATGTTAGATGTAGGTTCTCATCTGGTAAGAAAGGACACACTGAAATACATCTTGAAATTAATTAAAAGAGAATAGAACAGGACTTCAGTATTAGCTGAATAGTTTACTTCCAGAAGGGATCTATACAGATGTCTAAGATTAGGGATGATTAGGCAGCATTCTTAAAAGCAAGGCTAGGGAAGTTAGGAAGGGATATTTCATGTCTTAGATTAGGGATATGAAGGACTAGTCAACTAGCCGATAAGCAAATGCTTACTGGATAGTCAACCAGTCGCTACCCCACTCCTGGCTCGCTGCCTCTATCAGAAAGAGGTAGAAAGAGTGGGGCGGAGGGAGAAGGGGGTACGTCAAAGCAGCAGCATCGCTTGAAGCCTGGGGCCAGACCCAGGGCTCCACGCAGCGCTGCCACTTTGAAACGCTGCATTCAGCCCAGGGACAACTGGGGTATCCCCAGGCTGCACATGATGTTTCAAAGTGGCAGTGCTGTGTTGAGCCTGGGATCAGCTGGGGATGCCCCCACTGACCCCAGGCTTTGTGCAGTGCTGCCGCTTTGAAATGCCACAGAGAGCCTTTGAAATGCTGCAGGGAGTCCCCAGCTGATCCTGGGCTCCACGCGGCACTTTTGCCTTTGAAGTGTAGAAACAGCCCTAGAACTGTTTCTTCACTTCAAAGACAGAGGTGCACTATCGACTAATCAAATAGTTGATGCAAAAATGCACAATGCATCGACTATTCGATTAGTCAATTAGTTGATATTTAACATCCTTAGTTTAGGTCAAGCAAGGAGACTGGGATACATGGAAAAGCACTACTTTATGGAAAATTAGATACAAGACATCACAACTCAGAGGCGGAAGCATTGACTAACCAGAAGTTAAGGAGGGAGATAGCCTAGGGATGCAAGTGATTAGTTGACTCTTAAATTAGCAAAAGCTTATTAGATAGTCGACTAGTCCCTCAACTAGTTGCTCCCTGCCCCTGCAGTCTCTATCAGAGGCAGCAAGGGGAGAGAGGGGCAGAGAGCAAGAGCCAGTGCTGGGGGGAGCCGGCTAAAGCCAGTTCCCCCAGCACTGTTTCCACAAGGCACAGGGGCGGCAGGGACCAGCCGCGTGCCAGGAATCAGCTGATCCCCAGCTCATGCCTAGTCCCAGATGTGCCTCTGCTTTTTAACTGTATTGAAGAGCCAACAGACTGATAGACTCTTAATACATTTAAAAGGCAGAGCCGCAGTTCCCTCTGCAGTTCCTCGCTTATTGACTATGGATTTTCCATCGACTAGTCAATTAGTTAATTAAACTAAACTTAAAATCTCTAAGATAGCCAGGAGAGGCTTAGCTGAGTTGGTGCTGAATATAAATCCACTGGTCTCAAGTAAGTTTATACTCCGCATGCCTCAGCCCATGCTACTGTGCCTACACTGCTATTTGTACATTGGCTAGCTCAATAAGAGCTAGCATGAATAGATGTACACGAGAAAGGTAATCACACCTCTTGCTAACAGAGCAGCTTTAGCCCTAGATTCCAGCTAGGTTTGCAGGTATGATGGTTGGGGTGGGGAAGAAGAGAACTGTTAGCTTGTAAAACCAAGCACAACAGGACTAAACTAAATTTTTGGTTTAGTAAGATGTTCAGTATAACTATGTAACCTAAAAATCAGAGATATTGGACTTAACTTTAGACATTTATTTGTCTTCAGCATTCCGCGTACATTCTGTAAAAACATTCCATGCTGGGAAAGGATGAGGAGAATAAAAAAAAAAGTCAGCAAGACTTGTATTTATCCTTAAAACTTCACATTCCACACAAATTCTCTACCAAAAGCAGAGTATAACTTAAAAAAAAATCCAACACACACAAAACCTATATTTGTATCTTAATACGATGAAATGTTCTCTATTAACAATGAACACTTGGACTTACCATTTCCACGCCACACTTCAGCCAGATGACAACTTCCTTCACCAGGTTCTTTACAGAACTCCACAACATCTCGACAGGTTGTTTCCGGTGTAATTGGAACTTCTGTCAAAATTTGCTCATTGTTGCTCAAAAACACAGTTAATATCATCTGAAAGAGAACATAGATGTAATAATAATTTGTAAATGTCAAACAGGAATAGAGCCTAGTTATATACAGTCTTCCTTTAAATTTATATCTATTAAGGTTGATAACACTTTCCATTTAACAGTAATAGAGGTAGCCATGTTAGTCTGATCTTGCTAAAACAAAAGGAAAAACTATGTAGCACTGTAAAGACTAACAAGATGGTTTAAGAGGCGATGAGCTTTCGTAGGCCAGACCCATGTCCTCAGATCATATTCTGAAAGAGAATTGGCATGACCATATATACCAAAGGAATACAATAAAAAAGTGAACACATTATTAAACTGACAAATCAGGTTTAGAACAGAAGTTGGGGCAAGGGAGAGGGAGGGAGGGAATAGCTGTTTATAAGTCAATAAATGGCTAATCAAGGGTGATAAGTGGGGAAGCTGTCTTTATAATGTGTAAGGTAATTAGCATCTTTGTTAAGGCCCATTCGTAAAGTGTCAAATTTAAGCACACATGAAAATTCAGAAGTTTCTCTCTGTAATCTGGTGTTAAAGTCTCTTTGAAGTAAGATGCATGTAGTAAGGTCATTAAGACTATGTCCAGGTGGGTTGAAATTCAATTAGTTATATAGCAGACAAACAATTGGTTTATATCTAGCAAAATTAAGGCAGTGGGATACAAAGGGTTACATCACCATGTTATTATTGATTAATTAATTTTCAGTAAAGTGATTTGTTAAGTTATAGTTGAGAATATATCATTACATACATTGGGGTGAACAGAAAGTAAGTTGTGAACAAGGAAAAGAAAAAACTGATTCATGCTTTCTGTAAGTCAACCCCAATAAACAATTCTCATCTCCAGACTTCAGGTATTGCTGCTCTCTGTTCACATGAGAAGGACTAAGGAAATGGGAGGGTAAAAGGATAGCTGCTGGAAAATTGTTAGACTTGACATACATAATGTAGCATCTATACTTATGCTGCATTAACCATAGTGCAATGCTGTTGAGGGAGGTGGTATTACTGCATTGATATAAAATGGGAAACTTACATCAATAAAAAGTGTAGAAACATGCATTGACCTAGTTGTGTGAGGCAGCTTAGCTAACGCTGTAGAATAGAACAGGTCTGTGATTGAGAAAGAATGAGGAAGATATTAGTTCAAATTCAACATGGTGAGAAGAGCTCCTAATGGCTAGCCATCCAAAAGATGTAATCAGAAAGACAGTCTATTTAGTTTGAACAGAAGGAGACTACTCTTGAAAAGGGTGATAGACCAGTGTATTATCCACATAAAGATGGTAACAATTTGTACTTATGGACAAGATTTTCCCTTTGCACCCTATATTTGGGTAAAGGAGACAAACAGAATTATCCACAGGTGGCTGGTGGGAAGGAAGGATGCTTAAATATTTAGAGAGCCAAAAGAACAAGGACAGTCACAAAAGTCAAGGGAGGGCAAGATTTCAAGAAGGATATGGTTGACACTATTGAAGAAAGCTGAAGGTTCAAGAAAGATGAGGATAGATCACTGGTTTACAAGCTACAACAGGGCTATTCAACTTTGGATGCCTGGGAGCCACAATGATACTCACAGCACATGCTGAGGGCCACAACTTAAGTGTGTTAAATGTGGTTGCATATACATGCAAATATATATGCAAATAGCTTCCTTCACACTGATGGGCATGAACACAAAGATTAAGGCAAGACTACACAACACACAGGCCCCATTTAAGTCAGTTCGGGTAAATATTACATTTTATTAAAATCAACAGATTTCCACCTATATGACAGCACTTTTAATGAGCAAGGCAATCCAGGAATTTAACTACTAAAATGCATAACAGAAGACTATTATATTGACTACTTTTTTGTTTTGGTTCCTACCTGCAGGCCATGTGTTGAGCCCCGCATAAACCCAAACCCAAACATGAAATCATGGAACAGATTTCTTAACCTTCTGTATTTTGAGGTATTTTAGCCAATGTTTGGGAAAACGAAGGATGTGCTGTTTGCTGCAGTTTCATGTTTGACCTTGTGAATAATTACTGCAAGTTCATATAACACCCACTAATTTCCAGAAGTGACTGACCATGTACTGTGACTAGGAAATTAAATTACATAGACTTTGTCCTACAGCTGTCTGACAAGATATGCAAGGCTATTAGCCCATGTAAATGTCTTTCCTCATTTATAAAGGCACTCTGACCCACAAAAAGTTAGTATACAAAGTAATATTTTTTTACTCAAAGGCAACATACCTCTGATTCTACCATAAAATAAGGCAGTCCTAAAAATATTTTAACACTTACATATTACTACAAGCACTGAGCAGCAACTTCTATAAAATATATCATTACAGACCCTGCTGCAAGCAGACACAAGCATTCTAGACTACGTTTTGTTTTCAAACATGAATATAAAAATAATTGACAACTTCCTTTATGAAGAAAGACATGCAGCTTAGAATCTTTTACAGAGTTTAAGTGATTTGTTTGGTGGGCTGTTTTAAGACTGTAGCAAGCCCTTGATCTGTTATTTACTCGCTTGAGAAGCACTTAAAAGGTGAACAGAAAAATCCCTTAGGAGACAAGAAGCTATGAAAACAAGCCTATTCCTTATATTCCTGGGATGAGAGTTCTAAGTCACTGGATAACTCCTCTAACAAATTACAAAAATTCGCTTTAGCTAAGTTTTAGTTGAAAGCAGAATAAACATGTTTTGTTCTGAATACTTAAGCCTATTCTGTATTTAATTCAAAGTGAGCTCAGAACTGTTATTTCTAGACATTTCACATATGAAAGATGTGCTACCAGTCAACAAACATCAGCTCCTAAATATCAAGGAAAAATTCCACAAACTTATAAAGCCTCAAGCCATCAAAACATTTCCTGGCTAGTATTTGTAAAATGTGTTTACAACTTTAAAAAAGTTTAGTTTCAGAGCAAATACAATCCCACCTTTTTTTTAATTACTTTGTCCATTTTCTTACTTTCAGACTTCACTCCAATCTTTTCTAGTAGACAAGATTTCTCTTTTGACTTGTTTATAATACTTCGAAGAACCATTCTTAAAATATTCTTCATGTGCAGAGCAGTAAACAATAGTGAATTTAATTTAAAAAAAAAAAAACAACCCACAAATAGGAGGTGTACAGCTAAAGTCTAAAGTAGTTTTATGCACTAGCTGACAATCTACTTAAATGGATGTCCCTTTGGTGTACTGGCATATGAATACAAGTAGTAATGACGAGCAGTGATAAGACGTTCTAATGAAACAAGACAGGCCAGGGCTGTGACAGGAACAAGATATGGAGGATCAAGTTTTACCTAATTAGGCAAACTTGTACTAGGAGAGTTCCTCTATCTTACCACTGTACAATTGTCATCTGTGCTTGGGATTATAAGAAATGGCAAAAATTAAGCATTTACCTTAAATCATTTATACACAAAGCTCTTTATTAGAAACACTAATTGTTTTGCAAAGTGGTGGCTACAAATATTAACAATGGCTCCAATGTGAATGTTTAGATAGTATAATAAAGCAGTTCAGAATGAAGAAACCCCTCTATTTGTTTAAAACAAAGAACCAGTTACCTTTAAGAAAAGTTAAGTACATTTATTTTCATTTATGCACACACTCCACATTGTTTCAAGCCTGTCCACCATTTCTTGGCAGAAATCTGCTGTGTCAAATATTGCTCAAACAGCTTCGGCACAATGAATGGCAAGCTGTGTCTACAGCTACTTCTGCAACTCTGAGGCCAGAGTGATCACCACCAGCCCGCTCCTCAATAGCCCCTCTTCTCTAGCACACAGGATCCACAGTTTCAGGAGACTCCACCTTTGAGCCCAGTAGTAGAAGAGCTACAGCACATTTTCCCTAAAGCCATCAGAAGAGCTACAGCACATTTTCTACCCCATCAATTTCTTTATTCTCTATGTCATAGAAATGTAGCCGTGTTAGTCTGGGGTAGCTGAAGCAAAATGCAGGACAATGTAGCACTTTAAAGACTAACAAGATGGTTTATTAGATGATGAGCTTTCGTGGGCCAGACCCACTTCCTCAGATCAAATAGTGGAAGAAAATAGTCACAACCATATATACCAAAGGATACAATTAAAAAAAATGAACACATATGAAAAGGACAAATCACATTGCAGAACAGAAGGGGAATGCGGGGGGGTGGGAAGGGGGAGGAAGGAAGGTAAGTGTCTGTGAGTTAATGATATTAGAGGTGGGGAAAGTGGGATGTCTGTGAGCTAATGGTATCAGAGGTGATAATTGGGGAAGCTATCTTGGTAATGGGTAAGATAGTTTGAGTATTTGTTCATTCCTTCTCGGAGAGTGTCGAATTTTAACATGAATGACAGTTCAGAGGATTCCCTTTCAAGTGCAGATGTAAAAGGTCTTTGTAGCAGAATGCAGGTGGTTAAGTCATTGAGAGAGTGTCCTTTCTGGTTAAAATGGCAAGAAACTGGTTTTTCTTTGTGATCTTGTCTGATATCTGTTTTGTGGGCATTAATCCTTTGGCGAAGTGTCTGAGATGTTTGTCCGATGTACATAGCAGGGATTTAAATATCCTGTGCTTCATTTGTATAACCATGTAATGGCGCTATTTCGAGAGAGAAAACAGGGTTATTTTGAGATAAAACCCTTCCCTTGAAATAACCCTTACTCCTGAGGATATTTAAAACCCCTCTTCATTTGCAATTTCGGGTGTCTGCATTTGCATTCCTCTCTTGAGAGAGGAATGGAATAGACATACCCACACTCAGAACAAACTTAAAAGGAAGAAGAGGTTGTGACCAAGTATCCCCACAAGCAAAAACAGGAGCCACCAGTGAATCTTACATATTACAGACCTCTGACAAATTAAGCTACACATCCCCAGTAGCTCCTGAAGTGTGTTGGGGGTGGGGGAGAGGTGGAGTGAGAAGAGGTATCTCTCATCCCTGCAGTCTCTTACCTCAGAAGGCCTTCATGGATGACATAGCCATTACAAAAGGA